TGTGAATATTCTACAAGTACAAAATAGATCATAGTACATTCGCAAAGGAAAATGAAACAAAAAAAAAAAAAAAGGAAAAGAAGAAAATTTCACACACACACAAAAGATACCTGGCTTTTGGTTACTTTTTGGCCAAAAACTACTTGTATATAAACTACTTTATATATCATATAACTGTATCATATATATATATATATATTGTACCTGTTATATACAACTAATATTATAATTATCCAAAATTCATTATTAATTTTATAATTGAAACTTTAAAGAATTCTAAAATTAATATTTTAGTTGAAACAGTTTAATTATCAATTTTAATAATTTTTATAAATTGAAATTAGAGACCTGGTATACGCGATAGCTAAACTGTTTTAGCAACTGACAATTTTAACTAACATCAAAGAATATCCTTACGGTACAAGTCTTTAATTGGCTTTTTATTAAAAACTACTTGTATATAAACTACTTTATATATCATATAACTGTATCATATATATATATATATATATATATATTGTACCTGTTATATACAACTAATATTATAATTATCCAAAATTCATTATTAATTTTATAATTGAAACTTTAAAGAATTCTAAAATTAATATTTTAGTTGAAACAGTAATAATTTTTATAAATTGAACCTAACGTCGTAGCAAGCGCGTTCGGTTAATGGAAGAAAAACCCAGATGAAAACGTGTGGAGAGACGCATAGATGGCTAGAGAGACAACGGGAGAGACCCGTCACCACGTCGTGTCCATCGAGAGAGAGGTGGGGTGCACTCCAGTTCGTCGGTTTCCCGGCGAACATCCGAGCGAGTCGCGGCGAGCGAACCCAGCCAGTCAACCTGAAACCGCGAAACAAACGCGACAGCGTGTGTGCCTCGTCCGTTCCGTGGCGCCAGGCCGCTCGCTGATTTTTAAACAAATCGTCGAAATTACGAATCACGCGCGACATATCTCGAATCGGCCGGCGAGTATCCGCCGTCAAGCGCGGTTCGTTGCAATTCGTTCGCGCCTGCGTACAATTTGGATTACTGTCGCGCGGTAACTTAGATGGAATTGCGAATTGAACTGGTGATTCAAGTGTTTAATTTGAGCGAGATCGGTAAGGAAGAATCGTTGAAGACTGTGACGTTGTGAAGATTAGGAATATTTGAGGAGCGAACGAGTTAAGAAATTGGGAATTCCAAAGTGTTTGATTTGGTTGGAATACAGCGTGGATTCATCTGGCTTAGGAGTTCGAAATTTCAACACATTTTTGATTTGGATACACATTTGCACGTGTACAAATGCGTGTGGAATTGTGAGAATTGGAATTTTTGAAGAGCAAAGCGGTTAAGAAACTAGAGAAATTAGCGCGATGGAAATTTCAAAGAGGCGAGCTTGTTGAATTTCGTTTAAATTGAACCACCGCGTTGATTGATTTGGGCTGGGTTGGAATTTGGAATGTTTGAAAATGTAGGGAATTAAAAAAATTGGAGAAATTGCGCGACGAAAATTCCAGGAATGTTGATATTAATTTCGTTGAAGTTGATTTTAGAAATTCGAAATTTCGAATGCGATTTAGATATTCTGGTAGTGGAATTTGGCTTTGCCTGGGGGAATCGTGACACCGAGACTGTAATTGTAACTGTAACTGCGCCAAGTGCGTCCAATCGCTTTAAAGTTGGCCTTCGGAATCCCCGTGGCGCGTAGAATTTCACTTCGCCGCGAATTTTGGGACCGCCTGCATTAGAATTTCTTCACCGGTTCCTCAAAGTTGGTCATCGTCGGGAATCGGTGTCACGCCGCGATCATTTGCGTCAAAATCGGAGCGCCTTCGATTTCCCCCTGCGAATTTCTTCGCTTACGAAGACGTAAAAAAATTCTACGTACAAGTTCATCTCGCGTTGAGTTTCTACATACAGAGAAGACAAACGGGAGTTGTCGTGTGTGTGTTTTTCTCAGAAAGGAATTCTTACACTGGCGAACGGAATTATGGCATCGGTCGAGGCGAAATTCCACGGGAATTGAATCTCGCATCTCAGCCGGAACTAATATCGAAACAATTTCGCCTCGTCGATGCTTGTTCTGCTTTCGATACTCTCCAGCCACGTCTGTGCCCCGACGTATCAATCTCAACGACACCAGAAAATCCCCAGAATCCCCACGTTGACGACGACGACGTTGCTTTCGACCAAGCCTCTCCTCCTCGAGTCAAGGAAATCGCATCGTGACCGAAATCCCCGATATAATGCAGTGTGTTTCGTAATTTGTGGGACCCACTTGGAGAGCTGATTGTACGTTTAAAAGTAAATGGAAAAAAGTCATATAAATATAATCCTAAGTCATATAAATATAATCCTATCTGTCTGTTTATCAGATATAATGAATTTTATAAACAGAGCAAACTCTAGTAAGCTAGTTTTACCAGGGATGGTATATTCAATTTTCATAATAATCATAATTGGGATGAAGAAAACCCAGGAATAATTGATAAATTTTTAATTGGACCTTTTTTTTTCTTGATGGGAAACTAACAGGCACAAAGTACGTTGATTTTTTTGAGCACGCGTCTACACGAAATATTAGAGGAAGTTGCAGTCGATATTGGACTTCGTATGCGGTTTATGCATGACGGAGCTCCGCCGCATTTTAGCCGAGTGGCCAGGCAATTTTTAAATCAACACTTTGCTAATAAATGGATTGGTCGTGGAGGTCCTATTTGCATGGCCTGCTCGTTCTCCGGATTTGAATCCATTAGATTTTCATTTTTGGGGACATTTAAAATCTATTGTACACGCAGCATCGATTGAAAATGCTGAAATACTACGAAATAGAATAGAGCAAGGCTTCCGACAAATTCGAGAAACACCAGGAACGATAGAGAGAGTAACCAGATGAATGACAAGACGCGTGCAGGCTTGTCTTCAAATGCAAGGTGGTCATTTCGAGCATCTTTTGTAAAAGTAATTAAAACAGAAAATTCATTATATCTCATAAACAAAGACAGATAGGTTATATATATATTTATATGACTTTTTTTCATTATTTTTAGGCGTACAATCAGTTCCCACTAGTTACGAAACACCCTGTATAATATCCCCGGCACGTTGAGCCTCGATTCGTCGCGAAAACGTTTTGTCGGATGGAAGAAAGCGACCGAGCGTTTTGAAAAATCGCGACCGGGGCAACCGCTATGGCGGCCAGCCGGTGAAATCGAAGACGCGCGGCGAAAGCTCGGTTCGTCCAACGTAAGTTCGGGCGATAGATAAAACGCCTGTTGGCTTTGCTATTAAACGGTTTTGCTCTCGCGTTTACGCCCGTGGAAAGTCAAACGGATCGCGGGAAAAGGAGCGAGAGAGACTGACGCAAGAGAGGCCTGCACGAGAGGAGCGGGAAGGGGGTGAGAAGGGAAGGACGTTGTACGGTTTAACAGACTTTCACGTCGACTGTGTTGTGTTTCTTCTCGATCGCGTTACGAAAATCGCTGCTGCGTTGTTCGAGCATCGCTCGGAAAAACTCGATCGCGTTCTCGATCGCAATCGCGTACGTAGATCCGGATAGGTGTTGTGAAACACATTCGTGCTGTTGCACGAGAGACGAAGGGAACAAAACAGTGAAACACCGAGGGATTTTTGTCGTGGCACTTTTGGAATTTTTGTTTTATCGCGCGTGTAATACGATCGCGTGATTTATTTGGTGTTTAAGAAGGTATAAATGTAAGGTTTGTTCGGAGCGGAGAGCATTTTTTTTTAGTGAAATCGTCGCCGATCGTCCCGTTGCTCCCGATTTCGAGAAAGTAATCGCGCGCAGATTGCAATGGATACTTGATGGAATATAAATATCGATATCTGAAATAAATAGCCAGTAAAAAATATATATATATATGCGACGACCGAGATATACATTATGATAGGAAGTGGAAGTCAGTATTGAAGATGGTCAAGAAGGAAGAATGTTTCTTATTGCGCGCGAGATTCTTCCGAAGATAAAAAGGTCAGAGTCAAAGCTAAGAGATATATTATTACCGTGAAAGTCTTTGTAACGAGAGACTATAAAGGTTAAGTAGCAAGTTTTAAACAGCTCGAAAGTTGTTTGGAATTATCGATCCGACGAGACACGATGTCGCTTCCTCGTAGACTTTGCCAGTCTCCCCAGCCTCTAATCGAATCTTCCGCAGCAACGACGGGTAAACCGATTACCAATTAATGCTCCCAGAGTTCCCCAAAGGGGGAAGAGAATAAAAAAGGAAAGAAAGAAAATGAAAAACTTGCCGATCGGGAGAAGTTTCAACAAAATCAAGAACCAATTGTTGCTAAATAACTACGGAGTTTTTTTCAAAGTTCCTGGAATTTGGTTAATAGACCACCGAATAAAGCGAAGTATCGTGGAAGAAGTCGTTTCTAGGAATTTGTTTCATAGTATTTACTATGCGTAGAATTTGAATATTTTGAAATAACTGCACATAGAATTGGAATGCGCTGAAATTGCCGCGCATGGAATCGGGATGCGCTGAAACTACTGCGCATGGAATCGGGATGCGCAGAAGTTACTGCGCACGGAGTTGGACCGCGTTGAAATTACAACGCGTAAAATTACCCAGCACTGGAATTACTCTAGAAAATTTGTTTCATCGTATTTACGGTGCATAGAATTTGGATACTTTGAAATAACTGCGCATAGAATTGCGGCTCCTAGAATTGGATTGCATTGGAATTGATGCGCCCAAGGTTAAACTGCGCTGGAACTACTGCGCATGGAATTGGAATGCGCAGAAGTTACTGCGCATGGTGTTTAACTCCGTTTTCCAATTGCCGCGCGCAGAATCGAATTGCCGTGGAATTGACGCGTTTTGGATCTAGTCGCGTTGAAATCACAACCCATAAAGTTACCCAGCGCTTGGCGAATTGTTGCGCGTGGAAATTGATCACGGTGGATTGAATTTACCGGCGTTGAAATTGCGGCGCGTGGAATTTGCTCCCTGGGAATCGCGCGTGCGCACAGTCCGCGATCGTCTTCGAGAATACCGACGGACGAAAGTGAAAATTGTAAAATATTGCGGCTTAGTTGAACGTACGACGCAAGTAGATTATAGATTAGTAACCGCGAAAGAGAAACAGAAACGTAGAAAGAGTCGACTAGACGTTTTTTTCGGTGATCGACAGCAGAAAATTGGATCGATAGCCGGATAGACGTGTTTATTGGCTCTGACGGCCATAACTACGCGATAATGACGCGCATTATATTCGCGGCCCGTGCGTCATAAGGCTTCGACTGTAGACGGCGGCGGTGACATCAATTTAGAGACTGTCCAACGCAGCTAAATCTAATTATTTAACGAGCCGCTGGCCGTAATGCGCCTCGAGCGCGTACGCGAAATCGTGTGGAAGAAGGCGACGGCCACCTCCGGAGCGTGTGTTCCTCCTCTGTCGTTCCCACGGCTATCGACCGTTTAGTGCAGTGTTGATCGTTAGTGCATCGGTGGTGTTTGACAGTTTTATGCTGCCTTTGTGCTCTTGGAAACGCACGCCAGGTATATATAGGAGAGTTTCCTGGGGGTGATAGAGAGAGAGAGAGAGAGAGAGAGAGAGTAGTGCGACGAGTGTCTGGTGACTTTTACGAGTTCTTGAAGAAGAGATTTTTGGAGTGTTTGGATTTCTTTTCCGTTTCCTTGAGAATGATTGATGACAGGTATAGAACATATTTGAAACTGAATCAAACGAGATTACGAAATGTATTGTACAATTTGTCGAATCTCGAGGAAAATTATGATAATTTGGAATCGCTTTGAGATTTAATGTCTCTTAATGCCGAGTTTTAGCTGAAGTATTAGAGCAGTTAAAAAACGCCGGTTGATTTATCTTCGTTTGTCTTTAGAAGCTACGTTACTCATCGTGGCCTTGTCCAGACTAATCTAACTCACCTTGCGGGTTGATAATTGATCGAGCAAGTCGAGAAACTCGAACAAACATCCAGCCAGATGTTCAAATTATAGTCGGTTTGCGAACACTATAGCAGTGCTAATTAGAAATTGTAAAAACAATCGTATATAACATATTTGAATTTCGATTTGCGATTACATGTGCTTTCGAAATATTTTTTTACTATTTCTCAAACTCGAACGATCCAGACCAAGCTTTTCGTTTAAATCGTTACACTTATTAATATTTATATTCAAAGTAATTATCTTACTATTACTTACCATTCTAACCTTTTGAACGAAGGAGAAAAGTCAAGCATAAACCAAGGTAAAATTAATCTTGGAGTCGTTCTTCTAGAAAGATGATAAGCACGTCTAAATTAACAAGATATAATAAGACGTATTTTATTTTCGATTAAAACAAAGAACTGGCGTGGTTACGGTTCATCAAATACGTGACTGAAATATTAATAAATATAACGCAAATGAAGGCGATCGATCAGAGAGAGATTCGATATCAAAGTCGACATTTGAAGGTCTCACAGTTGGACGATTCCTTTGTCTCCTACTTATGCTTCCTAACCTATCGTTTCGCGACGATTTTACACACGGACGGAACCTTCTGTCTTCTTTTTGTTACGCAAATGTCAGTTTGACATTTCGCTTACTCATCCAGTATTAAATATCGTTTAATTGCATCGTGGCGCACGCGACTGAAAACAAATTACTCGTGTTCGTCAGAAAATACGAATTCTCAGGTTAGGTTTTTGTTATTTGTATCGACGTTGTTTCAATTGTTTGGTTAAAAAAAAAATATATATATATATATATATTAATTTTCGAGTTTATTTCGTTTGTTTTGAAAAGAAAAATATATATATATATGAAGCTAGCGTATGTACGTGACGTGTCGCTTATTTGCAGTTTGAATTTAGCGAGTCAATATCACTCGCCTGACAAATCGATTTATCCATTTATTGAAGTCACATACGTGCATATTTGTGTCTCTGATAATTTTCAAAGGCTCTTTCCTTTTTCTTTTTTTTAAATTCAGTCTCATAGAAGAAAATCGGAAGACTATACTGAGATTTAAATTTGTAGAAATGAATTTTCTGAAAGTCACCAGAAGTTACTACTAGAAATATCTGAAAGAAACTAGACAATTCATTTCAAAAATGGATCTTTAAATTCTAGAATCTACAGTCCTTATATACCACAGAAAAAAAAAAAACAAAAAACAGAACTAATTAATCATTTAAAAAAGCTTTATTTAATCACTGAAACAGCTTTATTTAATCACGCGATTAAGCTTTGTGTAAGCTTTATCTTTTATTTAGAAAAAAAAAAAAATACCTAACATTCCGCGCAACCTAACCTAACCTCAATGTTAAACGAAGAATCTCGCAGTCAAATGAAATCACGGAAAATCTCGCCGAGATAAGGATCTATCCTCGCATAATATAAAAATCACGCTTTCTAATTAACTTTAACGCAGTTGTAAAGAAAATACTAGCTGAGCGGTCGATAAAAATGGCGGCCCATTTAGGTTAGGAAATCTCGTCGGTATCACGTGCAAAATTTATCATTTTTCTTTCCCCTGCGAGCAGGAATTGAATTGATCGCGCGAAATCTAGAAACGCGAGAACGAGAGTCGAACTTGTTCTTCCCAGTTAGGTTAGGTTAGGTTAATGGAAGTCTGACACTTGGTGATCCATTCCTCTTGTTCTTGTTTTCCAATCGACGGTTGTAGTTTAGGATTAGAAAGCAGCCGAACAAACACTTTTTTTTTTATTAACTCTTACATCTGTTTTACAATTGGGAATAAATCTTTCGGTGTGGATTGATCGGTTTATAAATAGACGGCGAATATTGTATGCATTAATGGAAAATTCAAATATAATGTATAAAATATACAAAACATTCAGAGTCTTTGATCTTCCGGATGTGGACGTTGCTTTAAAAAAAAAAATGAAAATTCTGAAAGTCCACTGGAAAGCTCTGGAAAGTCTGAAAGGTTAATATTATATTTTAATATTATATTAATATTAATATTGAATAACATTATTACATTTTGATATTATGTTAATTATTATATTAATTAATATATTATTATATTAATATTAAATAACACTGTATTGCATTTTAATATTATGTTAGTATTAATATTAAATAACACTGTATTGCATTTTAATATTATGTTAGTATTAATATTAAATAACACTGTATTGCATTTTAATATTATGTTAGTATTAATATTAAATAACACTGTATTGCATTTTAATATTATGTTAGTATTAATATTAAATAACACTGTATTGCATTTTAATATTATGTTAGTATTAATATTAAATAACACTGTATTGCATTTTAATATTATGTTAATATTAATATTAATTACATTTTAATGTTAATATTAATATTAAATAACATTACATTACATTTTAATATTATGTTAATATTAATATTAAATAACATTGCATTACATTTGAATATTTTGTTAATATTAATATTAAATAACATTGTATTACATTTCAATATTATGTTAATATTAATATTAAATAACATTATATTACATTTTAATATTAATATCAAATAACATTATATTATATTTTAATATTACATACTATACATACGTTTAACGAGTTGAACGTATCGTTTCTTGAATTCCACGTGTTTTGTTTGTACTGACAAAATTATATTCACAGACACGACTGAATGTGTAGCAGTCGGGAGTAAAAAAATGTGTTTGTTTGTTTGTCAAACTCGAGGATTAAATTTCTGATTGACGATGTACGACATACGTGACAGACTCGTTGAAATCGTCAACTTACAATCTGTTCTGCATTCATTGACCTGTTTCTTTTGCAACGCGCCCGTACGTGTTGTTTTAATTGCATCGAGTTGAATTGCAAAATAGTTTCCCCGGATGATGTAACCTGTCCAATGTCGTATGAACTGGGTCGAAAAATTCGCACCGTGACGTATGGATGTTGCGGTGGTAACAGCTGTGTGTTACTCGAACAACAATTCTAGGATTCTACAAATTAATTTTAGGACTCGAAATCCCAATATTGTCTTGTCTAAGAGCTCGTGTTTTAAGGTTTCTTAACTTTCAGGATTTTCTGGATCGAAGATTTAGAATTTTACTGTTCTGAATCCTACGGTTCCTGGTTGCAATGCTCTCGACTTTGGAATTCCAAGTACCAAAGTACCTCGATTCTCAATGTTTCAGTTTCCCGAATTCACTCGTTTCGCAGCTGCGAATTATATAGAACCGATTTTAGCCACCCAAGCCTTTGGAGTTCTCACTTTCGATATTTCAAACTCCAGACTTCTCGATTCTCTAGCTTGCCGAGAAATCTGTGAATTCTCGAAGCTCGTGCCAATTTTAGAGTTCTCCACCAGCTGTAGAAGTTTCCAATTCTCGAAATATTTGAAAACGCCAAACGCCGAGAGTCGAACTCTTGTCAAACTCCGAAATATTCGAGCCTAAAATTCTGAATGGAAATTCTGAAAGTCCATATCTGAAAAATTAACATTATACTAATATTAATATTAAATAATATAAAATAATATTAATATTAAATATTGTTAAACATAATATTAAAATTGAATGATATTATATTATATTTTAATATTACATTTAACGAGTTAAATCGTATCGCTTCTTAAATTCCACGTTTT